AATAATGTAAACAAATGTCCCTCTAATCAAAACATGGATATACCAGTAGTGTAAACAATTCATTAGTCAACATGGATATACCAGTAGAGTAAACAATTCATTAGTCAACATGGTTTACACCACTGGTATATTTTACACCACTGGTATATTCATGTTGAGCAATTATCTGGAATTCGTTAGTCAACATGGATATACCAGTGGTGTAAACAGATAATTGCTCAACATGAATATACCAGTGGTGTAAAGAATTCATTAGTCAACATGGATATACCAGTAGAGTAAACAATTCATTAGTCAACATGGATATACCAGTAGTGTAAACAATTCATTAGTCAGCATGGATATACCAGTAGTGTAAACAATTCATTAGTCAACATGGATATACCAGTAGAGTAAACAATTCATTAGTCAACATGGATATACCAGTAGTGTAAACAATTCATTAGTCAACATGGATATACCAGTAGTGTAAACAATTCATTAGTCAACATGGATATACCAGTAGTGTAAACAATTACTCAACATGAATATACCAGTAGTGTAAACAAATACGTGTAGATGTATTAGCTACTTCAGTACGTGTAGATTTATTAGCTACTTCAATAAGTGTAGATTTATTAGCTACTTCAATACGTGTAGGTCTATTAGCTGCTTGGATACGTGTAGGTCTCTAAGCTGCTTGGATACGTGTAGATTTATTAATAGCTTCAATTTGTGAACGTTTATTAAATGCGTGTATACGTCTAGGTTTATTGGATACTTTTGTTTCACTGATGAAAGTATGGCACGTGATAAACTGAGCTTTTAAGTGTTGTTTCGTTTCGCTTGTTTCCGTGCCAAGAAATAAGTAGCTGATCTATGTAGTTGAAGTGGCTGTTAGTAGCGTTATGTTACTGCCCGATACGTTGTGTAGGTCTCTATTTCATGATCGATACCATGGAAGCGCTTTGGAGATTTGGCTTTTGATGGCACTGCAAGCACAAGTTGTAATACCTCTTATTGATTGAAGTCCACCTGGTCGAGCATGAGCTCAAGGGAAAATCTGACTCTCTTTTGCCAGCACTTTGGCTGTAAATTTTAGATAATAAATGAATAATATAGAGATTATTCACTAAATATTTGTGTGCGTGTACATATACATATATATACATACATACATATACACACACACACACACATATATATATATATATAGATTTTTACAGTATATAATGAGATTTAAAGCTATATAAATTGTGTCAAGTTGTTACAAAAATATAAGAATTTAAAAAAAAGACTTGACACGAATGTCGTAAAATTCCTTTCATCCAAGAGAAAGGTTTCAAATAAAATTTTTTTGTTGTTAGAAATCAGGTGATAAATGTTAACAAATACAAAAGATTGTTTATAAACAGCGTACGTTAGTAAACGTATTTATTTGTTATCTCCTCAAAGCAACACAGGGGATTTTTTATCTAGCCGTCTCCAATTTTGAATTGATAGACTAGAAGATAGCCAGCTAGTGAACAGCACTAGCCGCCCTAATGTGCGGAGACAATTTGTTTTCGCAGTAACTTGATTTGATGCATGCCATGGACCGTAAGATTCACAGCTAGATCGACTACCATTGGCCACACCCAGTCCACGTTAATAAATAGTAAGTGTTGTTCAAAAGAGGCAGTCTGCGTTATGTAGTAAAGGCATCGTTCAAAAAAGTTAAAGTTAATTGATAATAATTATTGTTTAAACACAGTGTAAGTTAGTAAATAGGAAGTATTGTTTAAACACAGTGTAAGTTAATAGATAATAATTATTGTTTAAACACAGTGTAAGATAATAAATAAGAAGTATTGTTTAAACACAGTGTAAGTTAATAGATAATAATTATTGTTTAAACACAGTGTAAGTTAATAAATAGGAAGTATTGTTTAAACACATTGTAAGTTGATAGATAATAATTACTGTTTAAACACAGTGTAAGATAATAAATAGGAAGTATTGTTTAAACACAGTGTAAGTTAATAGATAATAATTATTGTTTAAACACAGTGTAAGTTAATAAATAATAATTATTGTTTAAACACAGTGTAAGTTAATAAACAAGAAGTATTGTTTAAACACAGTG